AGACAAATCAAAGTTCCTGATGTACCAAAAAAGAAATTGTCACCAAAAATTATTACTTCCAAAGAAAATGTTCATAACAAAAAGGAACGAGGAAGAATACCATCAAAATCAATGCTGTATTCTACAATAAAACCAAACAATAACACTACATCAACCAATGCTTCTATTTCTTATATTGTTAATGAACAAATCAAAGTTCCAGACGTACCAAAAAAGAAATTGCCGACAAAAATTATTACTTCCAAAGAAAATGTTCATAACAAAAAGGAACGAGGAAGAATACCATCAAAATTAGTGCCATATTCTACCATAAAACCAAACAATAACACTACATTTACCAATTCTTCTGTGACTTATATTGTTAAACAAACCAAAGTTCCTGATGTACCAAAAAAGAAATGGCCTCCAAAAATTATCATAAATTCAAAAGAAATGGTTGATGACAAAAAGGAACGTGGAATAATAAAATCAAAATTAGTGCCATATCCTACCATAAAACCAGATCATAACACTACCACTACCAATACTTCTGTGTCTCAAATTGTTCATAATCGAATCAAAAGAGAAGGCCATCGTGTGAAAAGATTTTTTGACTTTAAACAAGTTAAAAAAGTTACAAACTTTTTGAAGCTGACTAAAACAGATTATAAAAAGCTGTTTAAGAAATATTATGAGTGTTTAGAAAAGAGAGAGAGTGAGGTAAGATCAGGTAGTAATGAAGCTATTACACCAAAAATGATATTAGCAGGACAACCTCTACACATACCTTGTGGTATATGGTAAGTTATTTTTATTAAAGGGATCGTAAAGAGGTTTTCTACAAAATGTATGTATCAAAGACAATGATTGCACCATTCAAAATATCAATCAGACATCTGTGATTCCTGAAATTCTACTAACACTAAGTGTTTAATGATGTCACTAATTACTAATAGCAAAATATGCTTTATCACATAAGGCCCTTCGCAATTGAAAATTGGAATGGTGTAGTTATGTAATGTAAGTAATGTAGTTTGTTCTATACACATAACAATGTTACATAACCTCT